TTGCCTATTCATTGAATTAATAATGCTTTTAACTGTACTAATTTATGTAAAATAATGATAATAATAATGGCTTTTGGTTTCCAAAAAAATATTAAATAATGGATTTAAATGATGACATAGGATCGTCTTGACCATAATACTCAATTCTCTCACATGTTCCTTCCTAATCAATTATTTAAGGACATTTATTTAAAATCACGAATATAAAATTGAAGTTTACGTTTTATTAATATCATCGACATTGAATTATCCACATTCAATTATTCTTGAATAATATCAACATAATTTTTTGAAAAATTTGGAACCGTACATTGAATAACTTGTGGTAGATAGAAGGTAGAGATAGTAGTTTAGAAAGAAAAAAGAAAGTGGAAGTGGTCCATACTCGACAGTTCGCGCGTGTGAGGCACCAGCCTGGAATCTTGTGACAACCATGTCCGATATGGGGACAAATCAAGTAGATGCTTCGTCGTTCCGTACGAGACCTTTTCTGACATGTAGCATGCAACTTGCCAAGTGGCAGTATGTGGTTCCCATTTTATCTCCTCCCTTTTGCGCCACGTGTGTTTTCTATTTATGATTTTTCCTTTTTATCCTTTTTTAATCTTGTAAATCGCTCTCAACTTGCCTCATCTCTGCTGTCCCCACGTCAGATCAAAATGCCCACGTGGCGCCACGAGATTTTTCACCCTATTCTACGCGACCGTCTGTTAACGCGAAACTAAACGGCGCAACGTTGCAACCTCAAAGAAAAGGTCAAGAATACGTTAGAAGCTAACGGAAGTGTTAAAATGGATTTCTGCTATCCCTCGCATTTTTCGTTTAAAAAGGGATAAAAAAAAGAAGACATATTTAACCTTTATTTTTTGGAACATATCAATGAAAAAAAAATGATATGACCAAATTAATAGAATAATATAATTGAAGAATTACCATAAACCATAATTTTTTTTATGTATAAAGTATAAATAAAATATAATCTCTCAAAAGCTTAAAAATTAAGTATTAGAACCTTTACAGGCTTGTAAGATGTGTTTTATAAACATATTCATAATTTTATTTTATATAGAAAAAAAAGCAAAAACTTCAAAGTACAAAAATAATATAATATATTTATAGATACCACTTGTTTTATTAAAGAGATAAAAAAAAAAAAGGGGGCTTTTTTTAGCTCTAAAAAGGTTATAATATAAAGGAATTATGGAAACAGTGTATTATATTGTTAAAAATGAAGGAACTTTGATGAAGGGGGAAAGAGAAAAGAACAGGGGACGCTACAAGATCCTTAATAAAAGGCCACGTGGTCAGGTAGACGAGCGCACCGAGAGTCAGACCCCAGTTTCCTGAATGCCCCTCTCCCTTCGTAACTCCAAAAGCTCACCTTTACATTTGTAGTTCTCTTTAAAAAGAAAAATTAAAAGAAGCCGAAGTATAGATTCAAATATACTTAAATGAATAAAATACTCTGTACCTTCCTTCAAGTTGAAGGTTTCAAGTTTGATGCCTAGCTACCACATTAATGAACTCAAAAACCCAACTTGAACCACCATAACACATACCAATGAAATTGTTACAATCAAGGTACAAAGGGAAGAAATCGAAATGATTTGAAGTAAATTGAATTTAGGCGTGGCAATAGCAAAACAAAGTTTAAACAAGAAATTGTGAGACGAACTGTGGATGAAAATTACATAAAGAGTCTGAAAGAGGAAAAGTAAGAGCAAGAGCAACAGGTGCCAGAAGTTGGAGAAGGGCGAGGATTAGGGGTAGTTGGAGGTGGTGGGAGTGGATGATTGGAGCCTCAACCTGCAACTTGAGAAACACACTCACCAGAACCTTCGTTTCACTCTAATCATACACGATGTGAACCCCTCACCACTGATCTCCACGTGGATTCTTCCCATTTTCCTCCCCCATGAAACCTCCATTTCCATTTCCCCTCTCTTTTCTTCTTCTTTACTTATTTCCCCTTTCTGGGTTACTCTTCTCTCTCGATTTCAATCGTCTCTTTCGACGCCCTCCTCCTCTCTGAGGTTTTTCCCCATGTGGATATCTTGATTTTTGGGGTTCTGGGTTGAATTCCATTTGGGTTTTGTGTGTAGGCTCGAATTGGAGAAGTGGGTTTGGTTGTTTTTGTTCGATGGGGGATGCAATCAGTGGTGGATTTGGGGATGACCTGATGCTCAGACTCTCGCCGGAGATGAACGGAGAAACGAAGGTGTCTACCTCTGAACAACCGGACCTTACTCTTGGACTCTCTCTAGGGGGAATTTATTGTCCGAAATTGAAGGAAAGTTCGTTAACACGATCGTCTTCGGTTATTGGAGTGATTTCTCAGAACGCTGAGACGTGGAAATGGGATATGCAGGGGCAACAGCGTTCGTTTCTTTCGTTGGCGAGATCTTGTTCTTTTCCGGCCGAGACGGACCAACTGGGTCGGATTAAACTGAAGGAGTTGCAATTGATGAGGAGGATGGAGGCCAAAAAGAGACTGGCGGAGCAGAGGAGTGGCAGAGCAGCTGCGGCGGAGGATGAGAAGGCAGCGGCTGCACCGCCGTCTCCGTCTGAAGTGGCGGCTTGGGCTGCCGCTTCTGCAGCGAGAAGTCCAGCGGTATGTCGTGCGACTGATAAGATCAAATCCACACAAGGAAGCCTTTCCCAAAATTATACAATTGAAGGCATGCCCCTGCTCTTTCCCCTTTTTGATTTCTTTGTTCACTAAGTTCTATGACTTTATGATCAACTGGTTTTCAGGTCTGATGTAGGTCGATGTTCTTTGAATTCATTAATCTTCACTCTCTTGGTTTAATCAAAACTCTTTTTCCTCTCTGCTTTTTTTTTTTTTTTGAGAGTTGAAAATTTATGGGTGATTCATGAGATGAAATGGAAAAGGAAGTATAAGCACTTTATTGGCTAACTAACGATGTTTTAGCAGGAAGCTCGAAATAATTATTTCACCTTTGACGGTGAAAATTCATCATCAAGTGTTTGTTGATGCTGATACCACAGTAGCGTTACTTTGTTTTATGTTGCCGATAAACCTCTTGCATGTACGCTTGGAAAATTGTAATTTTGTTGATCCTTTGAAAATCATTGGGGATTTGCTCGTCAGCTTAGGCATACAATGAGTAGGCAAATGGGGTTTTGGTTGTGTTCGTACTCTTTAGCATCAGAGATCTTATAACTGAATCATTGAAGCAAGGGAATATTGATCAAAATTCCTAAGTTTCACTCAGTATGTAATTGTACTGATTGTCCTGGGTGTGAAGGATTCGACGAAGTTAGATCTCGGTCACAATTTAAATTAGGTTCTGAAACAATAGGATTAGGTGGTATTAACGGTTAGATTTGCATTGACAGGACATGGAAGTGTGGGATCAACTAAGGGGTCATCCACTTCACAGTCATCACTGGAGTCAAGTGACAGAGAGCCGCAAACAATGGCATCAAGAGAAAAACCAGGGACGAATGCAGCTAAGAGATGTAGAGTTTCCAAGGGATTGATGGAAGGGGATGGAGGGATGGATGTGATGCGAACGATGCCGAGCGTAACTACAATCGGGGATGGGCCAAACGGAAGGAAGATAGAAGGGTTTTTATACAAGTACATGAAGGGACAAGTTTGCATAGTGTGTGTGTGCCATGGAAGCTTTCTTACACCTGCAGAGTTTGTGAAACATGCTGGTGGGAGGGAAGTGGCCAACCCCATGAAGCACATTCACGTTTGCTGTACTTCATTTTCATTGTAACTCTCTTTTAGTTGCTTAATTGCTCCTGTTGCCCCTTTTTCTTTCAGGAAAGTACAAGGGAAAAAGAAGAAACTTGTTGAATTTTGAAATGTTTTTTTCTTCTGATTTCCTCCTTTGGCTGTTTGGTTTTATTAGGGAAAAATTAAGGAGAGCACCGCCAACAATGAGGATTCCCCACATCGAGTTAATGAAATTATTGTCACACCATTTCCTGCTTCGTCAACTTCTTTTAGAACTCTTGATGCAGCTCCAGATCTCAGCTTCCTAATCAATTATTAAATAAGTATATCAAAGTGCTGAGCAGTATCAATATTAATGCATGATTAATTAAAAAAAATAAATAAATCTCACATTTCTCGGTTGTTTAACAAATGACTGGTATACCGGAAAAACCCCTCTAATCTACTTCAGTGATGTGCAAATCGTAGTTTCGAGTGTGGGCTTACAAATTAAATTTAAATAAATAAATAATGACTTGAAATTTCATTCTTAAGAAAGTGTAACCGCAAGCTTCTTTCTAGTGACTATCAGCCAATCATTGTGTGACACACCCTCATTACGTGGACCCCACTTCCTCCATTGCCCAATATCTAAACCAAGTAGATAAAAAAGGAAAAATCCAACGACTTCTCGCCAAATTTTCATCCAATATATTTTTGCCACGTGTAAAGATATATGAATTTTGATCCGTGTTTCTTTTTTAAGGTGATAAATCTCGACAGAATAACTAATGATATTGTTAATTGCATGGCTATTAATGTTTGACAATATTTCTTTTAGATGTTTAAGAATTTAACTATTTCACTTAAAATAGTAGTGAATGTATTAATTGGTATTAACAGTAGCATTCTTCCTTCTATATTATAGAATTAATGATTTAACAGAGTTGATTCAAATTTCTAATATTATCAGTCTGGAATTTAAACTTTAAACAAATATTTGATGGCATAACATCAAGCAGTAATTTTTCTATTCTCCTACTTCTCCTAGTTGAATGGTTTACAATAATTAGAGGGAAAATTATCAATAAATATTATTTTATTATTAAGAGTGAACATAATTTACTCAATTAAGAATTCAAATTCGTATTCCATAGTTTAATTGTCTAGCTTAGTTTCTTATCCCATTAGATACCAAATTATTTTTAACGTTTAAAATAATTAAAATAAAGTGTGAAACATAATCACGAGAAAGAGAATATTCTCGAGCATCACGGCGGATCCAACGTCAAGGAGTCGAAAATGCATAAGCCTTGTACAAAGGGATCAAACCAGAGAATGAATTTATTCCGTCTGAAAATTTGAAAGACAGAAGGAAGACGAAGAAACAGGGAAATGGGCAAATTCCTGGGCGCCGCACCCTGTAAGCTCCAATTTCTGATACATTTTTTTTTCTGTTTTCAATCTCTCTATCACGATCCATGACTATAATTCATCCCCGACTGTTTTTTTTTTTTTTTTTTTTCACCTTCAACCATTTCAATTTTTATTTTCTGTCATTTCCGTGGGGATCGATTTTTTTTTTTTCTTTTTAATTTCATTTAGAGCTGGAATTTTTTGGAATTGAATGTTTGATTTGGAACTGATAGATTTGGTCATTGAGTCGAGATTTGAACCGCTTATGATGAAGATTGTTTGTTTTTGTTTCTTTTCTCTCACGGGTTTGCTCTTTGATTAGCCATGTTGAGTATTCTACTTACAGTTTCACGAATTTACATCACGAGGCCCCTTGTTTTTTGTTTGATAACATGACATTCTCGCACTCAGAATAACGTCTGCATGGTTGGAAATGTAACTATGATAACTCCTTAAGGCATTTCTCTGTGACATTGCCTTGTGGAAAAGCCGTACTTGTTTCTGCAAAATTATTGCCTCAGTACCTATGCACTGAGGTTTCTGAGTTGGTACTTATGCATTTGAAGAGCAGCTCATTGTATTTGATGCAAGTGCTTATGTTCAGGTATACTGAAGAATCTGCATCTTTATATATTAGATCACAAGCAGTCTCGATTACTCCATTCAAGGATAACATAGCCCGAATTGTGAAGATAAACACCTAAATTTCATGATCAGCCTCTTTGTATATGCATTGTCAATATTAACTTTGTGAAATTTCAGTCTTGATGCGTTGCCAGACAAAATTTGATCAATTCTGTCCCCCAAATAATGAGCCTATGTGGAAAATAGTCTTTAAATTGGAATGTTGTTTCATTAACGGTACTTCAAATGCCTATCAATGAACATTTAGTGTGCTGGAAATTTGACCCCAGGCACACCACAGCTTCAAGTTTTCTGATATCCTTCCTACACTACAGGATGGTCAAGTGTTCACTTCTTTCTAAAGCATGCCAAACTTTTGGCTAACAATTGATTATTGATCTTTTGTTTCTTTGATGCGGCAGGCTTCACTATTCCTATGTTGGTACTACTTATTGTTGGGTGTGCTGCAAGGCCTTTTTACCCACTTCCTAGTAGATTACCTGAAGGAAGTAGGCATCCTCTTCAAACCACTCGTCCATATAATATTGCTCATCGAGGTTCAAATGGAGAATTTCCAGAAGAGACTCTTCCTGCGTATAAGGTGGGCACATCTAACTGTATTCTTTCCAACTTCTTGTTCACTTAACTTTTGAAATTGTTTTGCACATGATGATGGTACTAAAACATTAACGGCAAACTAGTCAGATCAATGTTAAGTATATGTTTGCATTTGCATGGAATTGGAGACCACATAATCTGTTTGTTAAGGTCTATTTGGATGACTTTAAAAAGTAATTTTTGTGCACAAAACACTTTTTTAAGTAGTTAGAAAGTCAGTCCGAACAGGGTATTAGATTTTGAGAATACAACACTATATATTGCATATTAGTAAAGTTCCCTATTATTACACCTTGAGGCTCGTGGGTCACAACCATAGATACATGGAATTTGTAGGCACTGAGCTTTATTCTTGTTTTTATCATATGCTCTTGTGCAGAGAAGTCGAATTATGTGCTTTGTATACTCAATTTTTCTCTTCTATGTCTTAATACTCTGCTTTTAACTAATTATTTCAGAGAGCTATAGAAGAAGGTGCAGACTTCATTGAGACCGACGTCTTATCTTCCAAAGATGGAGTTCTTATTTGCTTCCATGATGTAACGCTTGATCAGACTACTGATGTTGGAAAGTATAAAAAGTTTGCCAATCGTAGGAGAACATATGATGTCCAAGGAGTTAACATCACTGGGTTTTTCACTGGTACAGTGGCTGCATATTCAATTTTATGCATGTGTATTTTACAACTCCCCCTATTTCTTATTCCTTTAAACCTCTTTTAGGGTTCTTATGCTGCAATCTGATTTCATGGTATTTTTATGGGTTCTAATTGATTATATGCAGTTGATTTCACACTGAAAGAATTACAGTCATTGAAGGTGAAGCAGAGGTTTCCTTTCAGAGATCAACAATATAATGGTATTAGATCTCTTCTTTAAGCATCCTTTTCTTTGTTCAAGTTTATTAGTTTCCCAACAAGCTCTATCGTTTGTTCTTCTCTAAATGTTATTACTTTCCTAATGTACAACTGAATAATATTGTGGTTAGATTTGCACCAAACAACATACCAACTTTACTGGATCAAAATATACACTGGTTTTCATTCAGCTCATGCCTAGGTTTGATTGATGCTCACCAAAATTAAGTGTGAGGCACATGAAAAGACTAATAGTGGAGTTGAACGGGTAGGGGTTTGAATTAGCCATAATCCACATTGATATTTACTTCCACACTTATTGATGTTCACTTTATGGTCGCTTGTTTTTTTTTTGGGTTGGTGTGTATTTGTCTTGGATTACCACCAACTCCTTCAAAATGATTAGATGGTGATCTTCTATTATGATATCAGGTAAAATCTAAAATCGAATTCCTGTGACATAACCCATTTGCCCCTTTAGCATAATGAAAAATGCCTTGTCATCTACTTGAAATATTTTGTTGAGCTTAGTTCTCTCTTGAACTCTGATTCCTCGTTATAGAGAGGATATTTTACTTTATCTCTGGAGCCTAGTCTTTTGCATGATACTAATCAAAACATGTTCTCTAAATGATGAACTCAGGAAAATTTTCTATAATAACTTTTGAGGACTTCATTGCAATTGCACTTGATGCACCGAGAGTTGTTGGAATATACCCAGAGATTAAAAATCCAGTATTCATTAACCAGCGTGTAAGTTTCCTTGTACAAAAGGAAGTACTTACTGAACATTTTCTGAAGCTACCTATAAAACCACCGTTCTACTGTTTTCTGCAATTTGGTTTCCTACAAGGGTTTTGATATTTTGAAGATTGTGATGCCTTTTTAATGACGATGCTGTTGGCAAATATAGGTTTGACCCTAAGGGCAGTAAATTGCTTGTTGGTCTAGTTCTCATTTATCCTCGAATAAACCCCTAACATGCGGTGTGTCTGTAGTACAATGGTTGCTCAATGGTTTCTTGTTGGCAAAACTTTTGAACCCTAATACTTAAGGGTAAAATGTGCACAGGTCAAATGGCGAGATGGTAAAATATTTGAGGACAAGTTTGTGGAGATTCTAAAGAAATATGGATATAAAGGTTCATATTTGTCAAAAGATTGGTTGAGACAACCTGCTTTCATTCAGTCATTTGCTCCAACTTCCATCATACACGTATCAAATCTTACAGACCTGCCCCAGATCTTATTGATCGATGATACTACAATTCCAACACAGGACACAAATCAGGTATTTCAAACCTTTCCTTGGATATTTTTCTTGAGTTTGTGGATTTTTCTGAATTTTGGTGCTACATATATTATGTTGTCTCGGAAAAGTATGAAGCTATAGTTCTGCTGAAGGCAGTCAAATAATCCTGCTACATTGTTGTTTATCAAACTTCTCATTAGATGAAAACATCATAAACGATTTAGCATCTAGTTACATGGATCAACTCCATGTAAAGGCCCCAGTTAAGGATATACATATTTATTTTTTATTTAAAAATTTTGTGCCTGCCCCAAGGTCCAAACTTTGGAGACATCATGAGTTTTCCTCTTTGAACTTACCCAAAAATTCGAACATGCGACCTTTTGGGGCAAGTGTTACTCAAGGCTGCATGCCTTAGCCAACGGGACTTTCCCTTGGGCTTAAGGATATACAATATTCTCATCAAAGTAGTACCTCATGATGAGTTTTTGTTTGGTTCGTGTGAATTACTACTCTTTTCTGAATCTGCTGTGGTCTCATAGAAGGTTCACAATCAAACAAAAGTTCCAACTTCAGTGTAAAGACTAAAGAGATTAGATGTTCCTGTGATTGCTGAATCTGCTGTGGATTTCTTGACAAACCTTCTCTGAGAATTTAATATTAATTTCTTGTCTTGACTCTTAATGTACTACCCTTTTCTCCGTTGAAGACAAATTATGTACTTGGTCTCATAGAAGGTTTCACGATCGAACAGTAGATCCAACTTCAGTCAGAAGACCGAAGAGTTTAGATGTTCCTGTGGTTGCTGAATCTGATCTATACTGCTTTTTGATAAATCTTCTGTGATAATTCATATTATTTTCTTGGCTTAGCTCTTAATAAGCTTCTTCTTAAAAATAGTATTGGATAATGTGCAGACGTATTGGGAAATTACCTCTGATAGCTACTTCAATTACATAAAGAAGTATGTGGTGGGAATTGGACCTTGGAAGGATACTATAGTCCCTGCTGTCAACAACTATATGCTAACACCTACAGATCTTGTAACCCGAGCACACGCACATAACCTACAGGTAAACATAATTCACGTTCAAGTCCTTTATTCTTATACTGAGATGGAATGTGGATGCACATGTGGGAAGTGAAATGATTGCATTTAAATACTAGTTGAATCTTATAGATGGTAAAGGCTGCTAGATTTCACTTACGAGCGACTGATATGAAATGGTGTCACATGGTTTATATGTAAACACTAATTGATTGACATGGTTTTCATTGCAGGTCCATCCATATACTTTCAGAAATGAGCACAACTTTGTCCATTTCAACTTTCATCAAGATTCATATGAGGAATTTGATTACTGGATCAACACAATAAGGGTCGATGGGATTTTCACCGACTTTACAGGCAGTCTCCATCATTTTAAGAAATGGACCTCTAATCTCCCTCCAAATGATACTGAAGAACAGAGTGCATCTGATTTATTGCATAAAATTTCTGTGATGCTGAATCCGTATCGAAGTTAGGACAGAGTATATACGGTTGCTTCATTTGGACAACAACATTGTGAAACTTGTTTATAGACCAAGGTAAATTGGGGCATTGCATTGAAAACAAGGATATTATTATATACCTGGGCCATTGATCAATAAATAAAGAAAAGAACTGTTGGCTCATTGATCTCAGCCCTTTGTATTGCTTGATGACAGTTATTTATACCTGGGTAGCTTGAGATTCTTCATTGATTATTTGGCTTGCTGCTTTCCAAGTTTTGATTTATGACATTGGGGTTGGAAGGCTCAAACTTATATAATATCCTGTAGAAATTTGAAAGATTTATGTAGCTTGTATGACTAACAATTACAAATTTATGTAACTCTCGGAGAGTATTTTACGGAGGCTAAATTAATAAAAATATTTCAGGACTCAACTAAATTAATAAAAATATTTCAAAACTCTCCCCTTCTTATTCAAAGGTCCTCTAGACAATTTTAATAATATCCTAAATTTTTTTTAAAAAAATAATCATTCCAAAATTTTTTAAAATAGCATTAATTTTATTCGCCTGGCATAAATTATAAAAGTATAAGTTTGAAACTATTTTTAAAACTCCTAAAAATTTGTACTTTTGAAACAATGTAAGAGAATTTTTATTAGTTTTATTTTTATTTTTTATTTTATATATAATTAATTAATTAATTAATTTAGCATTTATATAATTTAACTTAAAATTAATTTTGCAAATTCTCAAAAATAATATTCCAAGAAGACAGTCAAACAGGCCCTGGAATTAGGTCGAACCAGGGTGATGATACGTTGAAGGTCAGACGAACGCAGAATATTGGTAGATTGAACCCTCTGGGGGATTGAGATTGTTAATCAATAAAGCTATTTTTGTGCCCGTGCAAGATGAATGCTGTGTTTGTGGTTACGACTGCGTTGCCACTTCGATGAAACACCAGTTTAGCATCAGGCGAAGAGTGGAATCAATCTTGAATCAATCTTTCCCTTCAGATTCAGATTGTTGTGAGAGCCTCCCCCTTGAGAGTTGAAGTTTGATCTGTAATTATAAAGACCCAGATGGCCCAAAATCAAAGGCCCACAAGCATTCTTGAATCTCTTGGGGAAGAGATTGTTAGAATTGTCGCCCCAGTTTCAATCTGCATGTTCATGGTGGTTATTCTAGTCTCTATTCTCAACTCCAGCTCCTCGTCTTCTGCTGCAACAGTTAGCTCCATCGCTACCATTGCATATAATGAAAGCAGCTCCGATTCCTTGTGGGACAAATTTACAGGTGCTCTTTTAAACTCCCTGGTGTTTGTGGCTATCATAACTGTGGCTACATTCGTCATGGTGTTACTTTTCTACCTTAGATGCGTCAAGTTCTTGAAATATTATATGGGTTTCTCGGCTTTTATCGTTTTGGGTTTTCTTGGAGGTGAAATTGCATTGTTCTTGATTGAAGATTTCGATGTTCCTGTTGATTGTTTCTCTTTTTTGGTTGTTCTCTTCAATTTTTCTGCTGTGGGTGTCTTGGCTGTGTTCATGTCAAAAATGCCCATCCTTGTAACACAAGGGTACTTGGTTTTGATTGGGATGCTGGTGGCTTATTGGTTTACTTTGTTACCCGAATGGACTACTTGGGCTCTTTTAGTTGCACTGGCTCTCTATGATCTTGCAGCAGTTTTGCTTCCTGTTGGACCTTTGAGGCTGTTAGTTGAGCTTGCTATATCTAGGGATGAAGATATCCCAGCTTTGGTTTATGAGGCTCGGCCAGTGGTTTATCATGAATCAAGTCCTAGGGATGCAGTGCAAACAAGGATGAGGGTATGGAGGGAAAGAAATGAAATTTCGGGCAATCTCCCTGCGGTTCTCGATTCTGTTTCCGAGGGCAATGTGATTTCTGAATCAAGTGTAGATGAGATTGAAACATCCGATTCAAATCCTAATAGTGAATCAAGTGTTGTTAGAGCTGAAGAGGGCCAGGTTCTCATAAGGAACAGTGAGCTTCTTGTTCCATTAATTGACATTGGAGGGAATGTTCAGCCACATGGAGAAGAAGTTTCTGCATCAAATGAAAATTTAATGTTAGAGGGAATTGGGTTGGGATCCTCTGGTGCTATCAAGTTGGGGCTAGGGGACTTCATTTTCTATAGCGTATTGGTCGGCAGGGCAGCGATGTATGATTACATGACGGTTTATGCGTGCTATCTTGCGATTGTAGCTGGTCTTGGAATCACTTTGATGCTATTGGCAATATATCAGAAAGCTTTGCCTGCTCTCCCAGTGTCGATAGCACTAGGCATCATGTTTTACTTCCTAACGCGGCTCTTCCTCGAGGTTTTTGTTGTACAATGTTCTTTGAACCTTTTGATGTTCTAGATATGTCTGCTTTTCTAATAGTATATATCATAAGAACGGTTGTCGATAACATTAGGCATCATGCTTTCCTTCCTAACGCGGCTCTTCCTTGATGATTTTGTTGTACAATGCTCTTTGAACCTTTTGATGTTCTAGATATGTCTCTTATATCTGAGGCTGATGCTTTTGTATTAGCAGATATAATAAGAACGGTTGATTGTTGATGGTTAACGATTGCACCCCTGTTGCTCAGTTTCTGTCTGAAGACCTTAGAACTTGACCTTGAATCAGTTCCTGCAGGTTTGATGATTTCTGTGGATCTTGTCAATTTAAGCCGGTTAACTTTGACATAGAAAAACTTTGCTTGCTACTACAATACTCACTCTCATTTCTGTTCTTTATCCCCTTCTATAATTAACAAGCGCATAGAAAGACGAGAGAAGGAGGACAAATGTGGAAAGGGATATTAAATGATTTGTTATTCAAATTGGATATTAAATGTGAAGTGATCGACTGAAGCTATTAATTAACATGCTACTGATTTCATTCTGCAGCTCAGAAGCAAGAGTTAAGCCATTTCTTGACCTTCACGTTTAAGACATTCCATTCCATACTCACCGAATCATCGATGCTATACTTTTCCATTTCGAGATTGAACAAAGACTCATCCAGCGCATCTTTCCGCATATTAACAGAAGCCTGGCGGAATTCCTGAATACAATTTGAAGTAAACATAAGATTTGCGATGGCTTTAAGATGAAGGATCAGGTGTGGATGGACCAAGTTTACAACATATACGGCAGCCATACTCTCCCTCTGGGGATTTTCTTCCTCCAAATTGTCCTCAACTGAAACAAAGGACTCGTTGTAGACGCATTGTAGCCAGACTGAAAGGGAGCATAATCGGGCTCAAAGTATAGTTTAGGAAAGAATTTCGTTTTGCTTCCGACTCTCATTTAAGGAGACCTTCCCATCTCCCGTATCGCAAGCTTTCCTCAACAGCCTTCATTTTTTTTGTTTCTATTCATTTAGAAGTCACTTGTTTTATTCGGATGTTAAAAAGTCTTATATAATTTAGGCTTATGTTTAAAAGTTGTTTCGGATTTAGGGTTAGAAGTCATATAATTAGAAATCAGAGTTATTCTCAAAGATTTCAGGGCTAATGGGGAACACTAAATTAGCATTACCATTATTGTCCAATCAAAGCACGATAAGTCAATTCCTATCCAGTATCTCCTCATCGAATCGAACGGTCTCCATTCACCCTTTCCAAATCCAACGGTGTACATGTAAGCTTTGCCTTCTACTTATATCCATCTTCCATTGCTGCACTTACAAAACCCCGCTCCAATCCGAGGCTTAGGGTTTAAGCTCTACTGTCAAAGAAAGGAAGAGAGCGAACAAAGGTCTTATTCTCCACTCCGATTCCTCGTCCCTTTCGTTTTATCTCCTGCGTTGATGTTGATTCATTCGGGTTTCGATTTTGATTGATTTTGTTTTGTGTTTAGATCTTTCGTCTTTCAGTAAAGATATTTTACGTGTCTGTTCGATGAAATACCAAAACTATTCTCCTCACTGAGCTTTGATATGATCTGATTAGAAATTTCTCTTTCATCTTTCGTTGTGTGTATGTGTCTTCTTGATTTCGAAAGCTTAGACCTCTACTCTTAGCGTTCTGGGTTTATGTGCTATGCTTAAGAATGATTCTGTTTGTTGTCGAGTGTTTTTAGTTTGAATTACGTATGCCTTTTTAAAGCGTCTACGAGAACATAAGCAGTTTTTTAAGTACTGAAGATTTCATATGGGTACTAGAAAATTTTGTTTTTTGCTTCGAGATAACTTTGATCCTTATGTTACCATAGGTTTTGTTTGTTTGTATGTTTATTTTGGATCTTACAATAGTTCCTACAACTTTCTTTTTGATTATGGAGTTAATGTACCTTGAAAGTTAAAAATATATTTGCAGCTACGGTGTTATCTTGCACAACTACTTTTTGTTCTCTATGGTTTTTAATTGTTTAGGGTAATTTTCTTTCAGGTCGTCAGCATGGCGTTTCTTAGTAAAGTTGGGAAAATATTTAGTCAGAGTTCTGCATCAAGGATTGGTTCAATTTCGCAACCTTCCCAGCTGTCTATCTTTCAAGCTATTAGACTCATGTCAAGTTCAAAAGTTTTTGTAGGAGGTTATCTGAAATTCCAGTTGGTTCTTTTCTTCTTACGCCTTGGTGGTCTGTTAGAGCTTTCTCTGAGATCCCTTGATTTGTACTGCAGGCCTTTCTTATGGTACTGATGATCATAGTCTGAGGGAAGCCTTCACCAAGTATGGGGAAGTAGTTGAAGGTGTGACGGCTTTTCTAACTAAGCATTATTGAGTAAAAAGATCATTTTTTTTTTCACAAAATTGAATTACATCAAAAAAAAAAAAAAAAAAAATTAACAGTATTAATTTTCGTGGGAGCGCTTCCACGTTTTAGCTGATGTAGACTGTTGGGTGAGCGAATTTGATATTTGTTAATGTCTATCTTTGTTTTAGCGAGAGTCATATTGGATCGTGATACTGGTAGATCCAGAGGTTTTGGTTTTGTCACTTTCGTTGGCAACGAAGAAGCCTCCAGTGCTATTCAAGCACTGGATGGACAGGTAAACATTTGCGTTGAGAATGTAATTTGATGTTGGGGGCATTGTGGTTGGTGTCTCTTGGCATCAGGATGGCTTTGATATGGGTTTGTTAGTGACTAATTCATTTGTGGGTACTGTTCTCTGTCATTGTTAATTTTCTGTAACCAGGATCTCCATGGCCGTCGCATTAGGGTAAACTTTGCAACTGAAAGGTCTCGCGGAAGCTTTGTTGGTGGTGGTGGATACAACAGCGGCGGTGGTGGTGGATATAGCGGCGGTGGTGGTTATGGAAGTGTAGATTATAATCGCAGTAGTGCATCCCAGGGAGGGGACAACTATTTTTCTGCCGATTCTGGTTCAGACTTCACCAGTAACCATCAGAGTGGCGGTGGACTGGATTCTGGAGATAATACTCGGGATGATTTTTTGGGCGGAGGGAAGTATGGGGATGAGGATAACAACGACGACTATGCCAAAAGAGCTTGAGGAAATTGGTTGCTGTGTGAAAACAAATTGCTTTTAGTGTAATGTTTTATGCCTCGTATCTCTGAACCCAAAAGGCCCTGCGTTGATTTTTATCTTGTTTGACATGTTATTCGTCAAACATGTTATTCAGAATCATTCTCGACTTCAAACCCCAGTTTTATCGATGAGTTTCTTGCCTTTGACTGGGGATTAAGAATGAATGTCAACCTCTGTAGTCGTACGGAAATGGTCTTCATATGCTCTTAACAATTATGGAGTGAAAGATTGAATTTTTGAGATTTTGAGTTTTATGATGGTAATATGTGTGTTCCCTATTGATCTATGCTAGACCATGGACTATGAATTAGAAGATTGTATATACTACTCGTTCACAGTAGCCATTGGATTCATAAGAAGTATCTGCAAGCTTTCTCTCTCCTTTTTTTTTTTTTTTAGACAACACATGAATCACCATTCTTAACAAAACTCCAGTGCAACCCTTAATCTTTGATATATTATATAATATAGTAATATATGTGAAGGAAAATGGAAATCCAAGGCCTTATAAGAAGGCTGCTTAAATGATAATTAATCAACTACTAACCACATCCAAAGCAGAAGAAACAAACCATAAGCTCTTACAACTCTCTTACAAACTAGCTAAATAAAGTACTTCCATTCATTTAGTCCCACCAAACCATGAAGCTAAATAAGAAGACGGTTGAGAGAGAGAAGAATATGTGACATTGGAGTCGGAAACCGCCGTCGCTCTCGTCAGCAGTGGTGGTTCCGGCTCCGGTGGGGCTGACACCGGTGCCAGCGCCGCCCAAAACCCCCGTGGGTGATCCAGTGTTGGGAAGGGGATTTGTAGTAGTGGTAGTTGGTGGTGACCTTGCGACAGGTGACGTCATTCCGGGTACTGTTGTTGCCCCCGGTGGTGTCGGAGTCATGGTCACCGGAGTGGATCCGCCGCCGCCACTGGAATAACATCTAAATTTGTATTATGTATTTTTCAAATGAACTCTACACTTTAAAAATTATTTAATAGTTTTTCAAATAAATTTGAGTTTAAAAATTTGAATTTAAGAATTAATTTTATATATAGCAAATTTTAAAAGTAAGTAAAAATGAAAAAAAGAAAAGAACAAGTGGAGTGAAAAGAGAGGGCGCAATCCTCAAGAAGGAGAAGAACGAAATTAAAGTTGGCTCAAAACCCTAAAAAGCAGGGAGAGGGATGAGAAAGAAATGTCCCCCAGAAATCACGCTGGGACGAACACCCCTATCCCACACAGGAAAAGAAAAAACGATTCTGATTTTGAATTTTCCCATTGCCCTAATTTAAATTCAAGACTCCACAGACAAAATTTCAGGTGGGTCGCAACTTTTGACAAGGAAGAGCATTATCATCGAGTACCAGCAGACTCGGATTAAAATTTACCCCAAAAAGCCAAAAGAAACAAAGCTAGGTATGGCTACGTCAAAGATTCTATAAAGCAACTCCATAGTGCTTTTGGACGATGTTAAGTTGTGGAGGAGCACTTATTCATGCATGCCTATCCAATCTTCAATCTTAAGGGGGAAGAAATCCCTCTCACTTAAATTTTATTTTTAATGTTGGTGTGGATAGGATGTTGACACAACAACCAACTAATATCGTTTGAATAATTGGATGTTTATAAACCAAAATTTTTCAATTCCTACTCCTTCCTTTCTTATGAGTCGAAAATATGATCTAGCCAAGAATAGAGTTTTAAATTATTGGACCTGTGGCTTTCTATGGGTTTGTACTAAGAATTATCAAAAGGGTCGGAAACTATCCACAAAATAACTACCACTGGATCCTCAGCTGTGGGTTCTTTGAGGAGGTTGATGGGTTTGTAAAAATCTAAAATTAAAAGCTTGAATTATATAGCTTTTTTCAGAATAAAGAAAGATACTGTTTTGAAGATTAGAGATTTGAATTGGTATCTAAGAATAAAAAAGAGGTTAGTGAGAGTTTAAAGTCGACATATTAAAAGTAAAAGATGTAATGAAGATCCTAAAAAAGCAACATACCCGGCGGTTGAAGGGTAGGAACAGCCAGAAGCGCCTGCCAGAAAGCCAGAGAAATGAGTAAGTAACCATTTTTTTGTGTTGTGTTTATGGAAGTTTAATTAATTAGGGAGGGTATTAATTAAGAAAAGGTTGAATGTGCCTACTAGGGTCGGTTGTGGAGATGGTAGCAACACCACCAAAATCACAAGAGCCTTGAGTTTGGCCCTTCTTTTGAAAGTAGCTATTAACAGCATAAGAACAGTGAGCCCTGACAGTGTTTGGAAGGAAACAAGCTGCATTTTGGCGAATAGGGTTGCAGTCAGCCCCCGCCCCGCACGCATAGTCCAGCGCCTTCTGCAGCGCCGTGTCGCCCACCCCATCCTTGCAAACGCACCACGTCCCACCTATTCAAAACACAACCCCCATACACCACCCTTAAAACAGCATATAAATCAATAAATTAAAAAGAAGAAGGAAGGAATGTAGAGCTTACTTGAGTGGCCAGCCATGGCGGCCAGAAGGAGCACTGAGAGAGCCAAAGTAGGTGGCATGGCAGAGAAGTTGGAGCTGAATCAACCTGTTCCGTTTGTCTTTGTTTGTGGAAATACAAATGAAAATGGGAAGCAGAGTTGGGAGTGGTGGAATAAATGTATGAAAGCTTATTTAAGCTTAACTTGGTGCATGCCCAACAATAGTGGCAATGACAATGGAATGTGAGCTTTTAGTTTCTTTTCTTTTCCTTTACTTTCCTTTTGCTTTGGCATCATAAATATTGCTTAAAGTAATGAACTAAATCCACCCACGACTTTGCTCACCGCCACGTCCTTTTGCTTTTGCAATCCTTTTATTTTTTATTTTTCTTCATAAAAAATTTGTGTTTAAAGTTGGCCATGAATCTTATCTTCATGTCTCATATTTTTTTCGTTTTTTAAATAGTTTTATAATAACACTTTTCGTGAGGTTTTCTTTGTGGTATGTGGTGAATTAAATAGACATACTGAGAAGGAAACCAAAAACTTTGGCACTCGTCTGCTTAGTACAATTATGAACAACCTCCCTGTTCTCGAATGTTGTGTCTTTCTGTGTAAGTGCTATAATACAAGGCTGCAATGGATAGGAAATGTTGTAGTGATCCTCTGACAGTGCGCTAGTTCTCTAAATCCGATACCAATCGGTATCGTTTTTTCTAGAACAATATTCTCTTTATGACCTCTCAACTCATCGATACAATCTTGGAGGGTAGCTTTTGTTAAAATTCGAGCAGTTTCATGAGAACTTACTTTTGTTATTTCCAATAATATGGCTCGGTAACAAATCGGTTCTTTCAAAGCATGCCTAGTTTGTTCCGATTGCAATAATCTAATGAGTTCTCCATGTGAAAAAAATATTAGACATTCCATCTTCTGAAACCAACACTCAACACTCTTGGTTTGTTCCACTTACAATAATCCAATGAGTTCTCCCAGTGAAAAAGTAGGAAGCATTCCATATTTTGAAACCAATACTTTTGATATTATTTGAAACAGGAAGCCAACAAACGCTAGAAGACTCAGCCCAGACAATAGCAAATAAAAGTAATCAAGATGCGCCTTGTTGAGATTGTCGGAAAACCAACTATTCTGCCCATTGGCTCCAGTTGCTTCATCGATCACAGAAACTAAAAGACTGCTTAAAATGCTTCCCGTGCCTAAGACGCTAGTGTAAAAGGCAAGCCCCATGCTTTTCAAATCTGATGGACATTGATCGTAGAAAAACTCTTGGAGACCAACCAATGTAAAAACTTCAGCCAAACCATACAAAGTATATTGAGGAACTAGCCACCAAAAGCTCATTGGAATTGTTATGTCAGGTCTATCAACTAGACCCGTCTCTTCTGCAATTCTTAATCTTTTCCTTTCAACCATAGACGCAACTAACATTGAAATGGCAGATATAACCAGCCCAGTTCCTATTCGCTGCAGCGTTGTGATACCAGACTGTATTCCTGTAAAAGCTCTGGCGATAAAAACGAATACACGATCATAGATGGTAATAAAGATAACGATGGAAAGGGGAACAAATGAATCGATTGCAGCAGCAGGAATGATAAAGCCTGATAAAATTGATCTATCCATTGTAGCTCCTTGCTTGGTGAAGAATGTGGAATCTTGTGCAAACACAATACCAAATACAAGGACTGTCATCCATACTGGAAAAATCCTAAGAACTGCCTTTGCTTCTTCAACCTCGCTCATGCTGCACACCATTCCACATTGGTTGGAATGATTTGGGACAATGCAGGCTTTGTTAAGAAATCTGCCACATTTGAGGAACCAACAATTGTTAACAAAGCTCTAATAAATTTTGATTCAACTAGATATACTTCAACATTATAAGTTAACACATTTGCAATTTGATTCAACTCCACAGGATTCCACCAACTTCCTTTCATGGTGAACCTATTACCTGAGTAACTGAATTTCTTGATCAAATGGATGAAAACTCTAACTATTAATTAGTCATAAATTTGGTGCTACACTTCCAGCGTTATGAACTAACTCTAGCTCATGTTAGCATTTCAATAATTGTATGGACTTTTAGAGAAAATAGAGGCATAATCTAAGGTTAATAGTTACTCTGCAACTCCATTTTCAAATGGGGCAAGAATTCTGTAATATTCTTACCTGAATTGTCCAGCTTTCTGTTGCGACAAGTCTGTTGCACTTTCTTCCTGATCAAAAATGAATGTTGAAGAAGCTCTCCAATTCCTAGCTGCAGATACAAATACCCGACCAATTCTCACAAATGGGCTCTTGTCGTACTTTTTGACGCTATAACGATATGTGTATTTCCCAAATACAAACACAACCGATGCAATCACCATCATAATGAAAGGAATTCCAAATCCTAAACTCCAACTAAGATTTTCCTCCGTATATGTTACCACCAAAATGGCTACAAAGGTACCAGCGCACACACCAAAGAACCACCAATTGAAGAATGAGCTTTTGGATTTGGCCTCTTGAGGGTGTTGGGCATCAAACTGATCGGCTCCAAAAGCCTGTACGCAAGGCTTGTGTCCACCTTGCCCTACCCCTATTAGATACAGAGAGACGAAGAACAGCACAAGCTGAAACTGGGGAGTGGAACATGATGAAATTTCGTTAGAGTTCTGACAGAGGAGGGAGGTTGTTGTAGGAAGCAGAGCAGAGAAAGAGAGCAAGGCTAGTCCCTGTAAGTGGATCAGAGTATGAACTCAGAAATCTGATTGAAAGGAAAATGAAACAAGGAAGAAAGATAGAGAGCAGACCAAGACGTAAATTGCAGAAGAAAAAAGAATGGTGCGATATCGTCCGAAGAAGGAATCAGCGACAAAAGCTCCGAGGAGAGTGAATAGCATGGAGATGCCTGACCAGATGTTGACACTTTCGGCGGCGGTGGCCACAGACTGACCAAGTGGCCCGGTGAGGTAAGTAATGAGGTTGGCACCGATTCCGTAGTAAGCAAATCTCTCGGCGACCTCCACTCCTAAATTGATGGTAAATTGACAACATCGCCATCACAAACCGAGTAAATGTATGAGAAGCTGGTGAAAGTAAGTGGTGTTACCTATCATGAAAGAGGCGGACCTCCAACCACCGGCGGATGATCGGAGAACTGGGTGACCTTGAAAATCGACGGTGCCATCAACGGTGTCGTTCAGAAGTGGAGAGTCAGAGGCTGAGACTGAAAGGTCCATTTTTTGATCGGAAGCGAAAAGAGGAAAGAGTTGGATGGAAGATGAAATGGAGTTGGATCAAATGAGTTAGGCGAGAATGAGTTGGGATTGGATACCCAATCTTGGCATATGCAACAGTCCCGTACGTAATTGCCCGCCACCACTCATTTGGCAAGTTCTTCACGTTTTTTTTTTTCCTTTTTGATCATAATTATTAACAATTTGATGAATATAAACTCATTCTTTAAGTAAGAAATGCTTCATAAATGTCTTTTGCTTCAAAAGTTTCTTCCTAAATGTGCACTTACAGTTCATGAGTCCAAAATAATCCTAGATCGAACTAGAACGGGACCTAAATAGAAGAAAAATTAACATAAATTGAAGAAAATTATTGGATTGAACTAAGATTCAAAGGAAACCGATTTTGGACTACTATACCAACTTAAACTCATGTCTGTCTGAGGTGTCATTGCTTTTTGGTTGAACTATTTAGAGAGAATTTGACTCTCCTATTTGTTTGAAAATGGAGTCCAATCAAAACTCAAATTCCATATCTTAATTAGGAATATAACTCAATTTTAATTAATATATTTTTTAATTTGAAATTAATATACTATTAATGAACAAAAAAAATTGTTTTCTTAAACAAAGTTGGTCTAACAAATATTATTTTATTTTGAAATTTGACTGAACTCTAATGAAAATAAATCATGACATACATAATTTTTTATAAATTTAGTATTTAAAATAAATAATAGAAAGAAATACCTTTTTGATGGATGACACTTTTGAAAGTGATTTTGAAATTTGAAAGGTTTAAAAATTTGATTGATTAGGTATAAAATTACATTTTTTTTAGTAATTTTTTTTAAAATGCTTATATTAGATTGTACACTCTTATAGACATTTTCATAGCATAAAATTGATTGATTTTGAATAATGAAGAACAAGTTTACCAATGATTTTAATGAAACAAGAAGAAAAGAAAAAACAGAAATTTAGAACCTTTTGTCGTCTGATAGATAATGGTTTTAAAAATTTAATTGGTTAATCGAGGCAGAAAAATAGATTTCAAACATTTTATTCGACCTCTGGCCAAACGAACATGCCGAAGCGGAGTAGAAAATTAGGATACACCAACACACCCTTCACTGAAAAAATCGAACAATGTGATTTAAAAAAGAAAAGGGGTTTGTCTCCTTCCCAGGATCAATTCACGGAGAGGAAGAGAAGGAATTGGGCATCTCACCGCCACCCAATTAAGTGGCCTCGCAAAGTTCTCCACAAGTTTTGTCAGCAGAGAATTATATAAAATTCAAAATCTGTCACTTGGGCCCTTTGGTTTTTGTCTTCGGAGCATAAAACTTCCCAAAAATTTGACTTTAATCGCACCCCTCATCCGCCGGTTCTCATTTCCTCAAGTCTTGTAACGATGAGGGGCATGGGAAGCCAGAGAGTTCCGCTGATTGATCGTGGGGTAAACTATTTTCATTTCCATGGTGTTCCTGAAAAATGAATTGGTCCCATGTGAATGAAATGCTTTTTAGAATTACTTCCTCTGGTTTCTGTTATGGGATTTTACAGTGCTTCGGCTGTGCTTGCTTTTAGTTTCAAGGGTTGCTTTTGGTACTTCTTCGTGAACTTGGAATGGATGAATAAATTATTAATTGATTTTCATATCGGTTTCTTTGTTTTTTACAGGGAGGGCGAAAGGGCCTTGGCACATCAGAAGATCGTCAGTTAACTGACCTGGAACATGGGGATGCTGTACCGGTAATGTTCTTGTTTGTTAGCTTTTCACTGAAGTGAAGATTATGATTGAATGATTATTCACTTAACTAGTTGTTTCCTGATGTTAATTATGCTTGGAATTTCAGCCTGCAAATGTGGGATTTGGCAGAGTACTTTCACTTGTAAGTGAATTGGTGCTGTGTTGGCAGAAGCTATGAATTTTGCTGTCAAAATCTTTGAAGTTCTCAACATCTGAATTGTATTTGCAGGCAAAGCCTGAAGCGGGGAAATTGATAATTGCTACCATTGCTCTTCTGATTGCTTCCACGTCAAGTTTATTGATAGTATGCATATTTTTGTGCATTAATCTATCTCTTCCACGTCAAGTTTATTGAAATTTAACTTATGGCCACTTTATTATACTCTTTGAAATGCTGATTCTGTAGCCAAAATTTGGGGGAAAGATCATTGACATTGTATCTGGAGATATTGACACACCTGAACAGAAAAGCAAAGCTCTAAAGGAAGTCACAAACACCATTGTATACATCACATCGATCGTCTTAGTTGGGTATGATCATTTAGACTTTTTAAGACTTAAATTATGTGAAATCATTATCTCGTACATAGAACTGCCGTGGCATTATGCTTGCTAAATCCTAAACCTGTTAGAATTGGAGACTAATAGCTCAGCTTGTGAATTGGGATCTGCTTCATGAGATTTTCCGTATAGAAATTTATTTTAAACATATTCTGTGATCCAGTATTATGTCATCTCAGAAATATTATGTGCACTCGCTCATGAAAAATAATGTGATTTTCAGTTCGGTGTGCTCAGCTATTCGAGCTTGGTTATTTTCTTCTGCTAGTGAGAGGGTTGTTGCTCGCTTAAGGAAGAATCTGTTCACTCATCTTCTTAATCAGGTACCCCCCATGAAAAGAGGGGGAAAAAACTAAGAAGTCTATTTAATATTCCTTATTTTTAGCATGAGAAAGTTCTCTGGAACGATTGATGAATTTTGTAGGAAATAGCCTTCTTTGACATTACTCGAACAGGAGAACTTCTTAGTAGGCTATCTGAGGATACCCAAATCATTAAGAGTGCCGCAACTACCAATCTTTCTGAGGCCCTAAGAAATCTATCAACTGCATTAATCGGGCTGACCTTCATGTTTTCAACTTCTTGGAAGTTGACATGTAAGAATTTGAACATTGAAGCAGTTAAAATGCAAGTTCTAGGGTCCGATCGTGCTCATTGTTTTATCTTGTCTATCATTTCTAGTATTGGCTTTGGTTGTTGTTCCTGTCATTTCTGTGGCTGTTCGTAAATTTGGTCGCTATCTTCGTGAGCTTTCTCACAAGACACAAGCAGCTGCTGCTGTCTGTGCTTCAATTGCTGAGGTATAACTTCACTGCACGATTTTAATTTATTTTCTTTTCATAATTAGATATAAAATGTCAATTGTGAGAATAAGTTGGATATTGTCTTTCATGATGAAATCCAAAGGAAAAGCAAGTCATTGTTATGCTTTTATTTTAGGAATCTTTTGGTGCCATACGCACTGTCAGATCTTTTGCTCAAGAATCGTACGAGATATCCCGGTACTCTCAGAAAGTCGAGGAGACATTGGAACTTGGACTCAAACAAGCTGTGAGTTTATTTTGAAGTGAAATATATATCTTTTTGTGCTTGTTCATGTGTCTTTCTTTCTGCAAGCTCACACCTCTTACCCTCAATCTTATCATTTAACAGAAAGTGGTTGGATTGTTTTCTGGAGGTCTCTATGCAGCATCGACCTTATCTGTTATTATTGTTGTGATATATGGAGCTAATTTGACGATCAAAGGGTTCATGACTCCGGGAGCTCTGACATCTTTCATTCTTTATAGTTTAACAGGTAATATTTCTCTGTTTTCAGGAGCTTTTCTTTCCCATGTGGCACAATAAAAAAAATTAACTGTACTCAACTCTCCCTTTGTAGTGGGAACCTCTGTATCTGGGTTGTCGGGATTATACACTGTGGCCATGAAAGCTGCTGGAGCTAGCAGGCGAGTTTTTCAGCTCCTGGATCGTGTATCAACAATGACAAATTCAGGAAATAAGTGTCCTATTGGGTATGCTCATTTTATTTTATTTTTTCTAAATTGAAAATGAAATTTCGTCCTTTACTTTTGAAGGGGGTGATTTAGAATAGCATGTGGACTGGAAATCTTAATCTGAACTTGAGGGATTGTGAGGAGATTTAGATGCTTATGAATTATGTTCGACTCCAGACAACAAAGAGGGCTATCACTAGGACTTTTGGAAGTCCTGGACTATTCCCCATATTCTAGTTCCAGCATAACTCCGTCTAGTATTGGCAAGGAGACTGGTAAAAATTGCACACATTTATTAAGTAACGATCCCATGCTCATCACCTCGAGACGAGACGAGATAAGATGGTTCTTTAATGGCAGTTAGTGTTAGGTATTGAAATTTGTTGAGAATTAGGTTAGAATACGAATAGTTATGTCTGTTTGAACCATCAGAGACTATTGTTACTAGCAAGAATTGGTTCTTTCATCTTGCTTTATCTCATTAATTATTGAGATGACAGATTCTATTATTTTTATAAGAGTAAATATGAGTACTTGAAAAGAAGAGAACTGTTAGTTTTAGTTTCCAGGAGCAGAATGATAGCTGTTGGTTATTTAATGCAGTGATCAAGATGGAGAAGTTGAGTTGGACGATGTCTGGTTTGCATATCCTTCCCGCCCTAATCACACTGTGCTGAAGGTAATTTCTGTCTAAACTTGTAGTTATGTGGTGACAGGTTATGCAGTGTTATTGCAATATAAACAAGTTCCATGGGTACAGGGAATAACATTGAGATTGCAGCCTGGCTCAAAAGTAGCTCTCGTTGGTCCAAGTGGCGGTGGAAAAGTAATTTAGCTTCTTTTGCTTGATGCTTGTTTCTTCCTTACTGATTATAACAACAAATCTGAGATTTATTATGCGTTAAAAACCTGCTAACATACTCCATGTTTCTTCCTTTGCCACAGACCACCATAGCAAACCTGATTGAAAGATTCTATGATCCTAATAAAGGCCAGATTCTGATAAATGGGGTTCCTCTGGCAGAGATATCCCATGAACATTTGCACAAAAGGGTAACAAGTCTACCTAATAATTAACTTTCTAACTCGAATGAAAGTTGAAAGGTTGTGTTACCAATGTATGGTCTGCTTCTGGATTGCAGATCAGTATTGTCAGCCAGGAGCCTATTCTTTTCAACTGCTCCATAGAGGAGAATATAGCCTACGGTTTAGATGGCAAAGTTGATAGCATTGATGTAGAAAATGCTGCTGTAAGAGCTTATGTCCTTTTGCCTTCTAGAAAACCTGTAGGGCTAAACCTGTTGTTTGACTTAAACTACTGAAATCGCAGAAAATGGCCAATGCACACGATTTCATATCAAACTTCCCTGAAAAGTATAAAACCCATGTTGGAGAACGTGGAGTAAGGCTGTCGGGTGGTCAGAAACAAAGAGTAGCTATAGCAAGAGCTCTTCTTATGAATCCAAGAATTCTCCTTTTGGATGAAGCCACAAGTGCTCTAGATGCTGAAAGTGAACACTTAGTACAGGTCTGTTGTGAATTCTTCTTGTTCGGTATTAGAAACTCAAAAGTAGCCTACCCTGTTTTCAGATTTCATATTTATCATCGTGAATCTCATCAATGGCCGGGTTTTAGGATGCAATGGATTCTTTGATGAAAGGCAGGACCGTGCTCGTCATTGCGCATAGGCTATCCACCGTTAAGACAGCAGACACGGTGGCCGTTGTTTCTGGTGGTCAGATTGTTGAAAGCGGAACACACGAAGAGCTCCTTAGCAGGGATGGTGTCTACACTGCACTAGTGAGGAGGCAACTGCAAGATACGAAAACAACATAAGGCACAACATGATTTCATTTACATGACAGAAATTAGTTTTGCTTCAATGACCGATGGAAAGCTCATACTCTTTTCTTCCTACCACAAACTCAGAAAGCTACTGTTTTATTTAGTTCAGAGTTGTCCTTTGATAAAAGATGTTTGTGCCTTACATTTTTAGTGTTTACTAATGTTGAAGAATTTTTTATGCGCGCAACGTTGGAGTTTCTTTTATTTTTAGTTCAACAATTTCACTTTTTGATCGAAGTTATTGGAGGATAAGTTTCTTCTCAATTTATAGTTTTGCTTAGCTTAAAAAAACAGGAAGGAAATTAAAGGTGTATGGTGATTTTTATAGTTCAATGGGACTCTCTATTATTATTTCAATAATAGTCGATTATTTATGGTTTCACAACAATCAATGAGGTAAGAAATAATATTAATAACAATTTGGTAATAATAACTTACCATCATTTGGTCACATCTATTTATTTAAAATCACTAAAATCTTTTTTCAAAACGCTAAACATAGTTTTAAGACTTCTATTCTAAATACACGCTAATACTTGATATGTTTCTAACCGTCCATCCACCAAACTCTTTCAATGCTCTAAATGAGCTTCTTTTATAGCCTGCCTACCTTTTTACAAACACCGTTTATGACTAATTTGAAAAATATGGTACTATATTTAATGATCTCCCCAATCTAAATCCAAATTATTTTCTTAAAGAACATCATCTTCACACATATATATATATATTAAAGAAAAGAATTACTTTTGAATATGTTGTGAGCCGAAAGCGGAACAAATATACTCACAGCACCAAAATCACTCAAGACATACAATATTGCACTCAAAAACTTGATTTTTCAACAGCAGAAAGAATGACATTATTAGCCTTCTGCTAAACCTAAAGATAAACTAACCTATTAGCAAGACCTTGAGAATAGGTCTTGGTCCTAGAGAATAGGGCTTATGACAATGTTTAACAATCTCCACCTTGTCATAAGATCTTCAAGTTGATAGCGAATTAGGTTGTTATCACGTCAACACACTACTCCTTCCTTCCGACGTTGATGAGATCCAAACAATGACAGAACTTTTCACGAGCGATCACCTTTGTCAACATATCAGCAGGGTTATCAGCAGTTCCAATTTTTAGTAAACGAATATCCCCTTTGCTAATAATTTCTCGAATAAAGTGAAAACGGACATCAATGTGTTTTGTACGAGCATGATGGACTTGATTTTTTGACAAGAAAATAGCGCTCTGGCTATCACAAAATACATCTATATGTCCCTGCAAAATACCCAAGTCATTGATCAAACCATGCATCCAAATAGCTTCTTTAAAAGCTTTCGTTACTGCCATATACTCTGCTTCAGTGGTAGACAATGCAACAGTAGACTGCAATGTTGAACGCTAACAAACAGGTCCACCATCCATAGTAAATAAGTATCCCGTAGTAGATCGTCGCTTATCCAAATCACCAGCATAATGAGAATCCACAAAACCAGCTACACGATTGTCAAGATTAAACATTTCTTGTTTTTGAAACTTAATACCAACATCAATAGTGCCAAGAATGTGCCTAAGAATCCATTTTACAGCCTGCCAATGCTCTTTACCAGGATTATGCATATAACGACTCACCATGCTTACTGCGTGTGAAAGATCAGGTCGAGTACACACCATAGCATACATCAACGCACCAACAACATTTGTATAAGGAATGTTCTCCATATACCTTTTGTCATCGTCAGAACTTGGCACATGGAAGCACTAAGCTTGAAATGAGGAGCAAGTGGAGTACTAACGGGTTTGGTTGAATCATTCAAACTAAATCTTGACAATACCTTGCGTAGATATTGAGACTGAGTCAACCAGACTGTATCTTTTTTTCGATCTCGCTCTATCTTCATTCCAAGTATTTTCTTTGCATTGCCTAAGTCTTTCATTTCAAATGTTTTAGAAAGCTCATCTTTGAGATTATCAATCTCCACCTGTCTCTTTGAAGTAATTAACATATCATCAACATATAAGAGCAAGTAAATAAACGATCCATCATCGAGACATCGATAATACACACAATGGTCAAATTGACTATGAGTATACATATGCTCTACCATGAAATGATCAAACCTTTTATACCATTGGCGAGGGGATTGCTTCAGGCCATACAAAGATTTCTTCAATCTGCATACTAAATGTTGTTGTCCAACTACTCGGAAACCAACTGGTTGTGCCATATATATTTCTTCTTCCAAATCTCCATGCAAAAAGGCAGTTTTTACATCGAGTTGTGCAAGCTCAAGATTAAATTGAGCAACCAAAGCCAACAAAATTCGAATCGAAGAATGTTTTACCACATGTGAGAAAATTTCATTGTAATCAATACCTTCTTTTTGTGCGTAGCCTTTAGCCACAAGTCGAGCCTTATAACGTATACCAAAAGGGTCTTCCTTTTTTGCAAAAACCCATTTACAACCAATTTCCTTCTTACCTTTTGGAAGTTGTACCAAATCCCAAGTTTGATTTATCTCCAATGATGCTATCTCCTGATTCACAGCCTCTTGCCAGTGTAAGCTATCCAGGCTCTGAATAGCATCTTTGTAACTGTTAGGAACTCCATCAATCAAAGAGAAAGCATATGCTATCGGATCATTAAACCTTGCAGGTTTTCGAATTACCCTTCGTGGTCTATTCTTGGCGATTGACTCAGGTTCCTCCACTCTTTCATTTACAAGGCTTTGCTTCTCAAGACTTTGCTCTTTCTGTTCTAAGACATCAAAGTTATTATTTACCTGATCAATAGGTTCTTCGGTAGGAGCAACCACATCAGGAGAGAACACCACCTTCTCCACCTGCTTCAATGCCTCGTCATTATTTTCAATTTTCTGCAAAAACATTCCAGACTCATCCAATGTCACATCTCGACTATTAACAATCTTACTTGTTTCTGGACACCATAACCTATAGCCCTTCACACCTTTGCTAAAGCCCATAAACTTGGCTTTTTTTGCTCTAGGATCCAGCTTTGAGTCTGTTACATGATAATAAACAGGACACCCAAACACATGCAATTTATCGTAATCACTAACAGGACTACCTGACCATACCTCAAGCGGAGTTCTCCCACCGTTTCCAGAAACAGGTAAACGATTCACCAAGTGAATTGCATAACTGAGAGCCTCAGTCCAAAATGCTTTACTCAATCCTGCTTGAGACAATATGCATCGAACATTCTCTGTTAATGTCTGGTTCATTCTCTCAGCAACTCCATTTTGTTGTGGCTTACCAGGAACAGTGAAGTGTCGAATGATCCCTTCATCTCGGCATACTTTAAGGAATGGATCATAAGTATATTCTCCCCTGTTGTCTGATCTCAGCCTTTTGATTTTCCTGTCCATCTGATTCTCTACCATTTTCTTCCACTCTAGGAAGATTTGGAGAACCTCGTTTTTGTGCCTCATGGGATACATCCAAACTCTCTTCGAGTAGTCATCAATAAAGGTGACGAACCACCTCTTTCCTCCCAATGAGACATTCTTTGTGGGACCTCATACATCAGTGTGAACATAATCCAAAATGCCCTTTGTTTGGTGTATAGCTGTACCAAACTTCACATTTTTTTGTTTACCAAATATACAATGTTCACAGAAATCAATTCTTCCAGTTGTGGCACCCTTAAGGACTCCTTGGTTCACCAGTGTCTGAAGCGCATTCTCACCAGCATGCTCGAGTCGCATGTGCCATAATTTTGATATGTCTTGTTCTTTCGAACTTGCCACAGCAGCATGCCCAATTATTGTGGTTCCGTTGAGGTAGTATATGCTACCTCTTCTAGTTCCTGTAATTGCCACCAAAGCTCCACGAGCTACTTTCAAATTCCCTCCTTCCAAAATGATGCGATAACCACTCGCATCCAAAACGCCAAGTGAGATCAAATTTTTCTTCAAGTCAGGGACATACCTCACCTCTTTGAGTTTTCGTATAACCCCATCAAATATCTTAATTTGTACTGAGCCGATTTCCATTATCTTGCAAGTACTATCATTGCCCATATAGACAACTCCACCATTGAACTTTTTGAAGTCCAAAAACATCTCTTTGTTGGGACACATATGATAGGAGCACCCAGAACAAGAATCCATTCACTGGTTTGGCTGACTGATAGGGAGATTGTCAAGGCATCATCTGTATCAGTGTCGTCATCTCTAACCACATTGGACTTCGACCCCTTCTCTTTTAAGATCGAACAATCCCTTTTCCAATGGCCTTTCTGTCGACAATGCACACTCATTTTTATCAAGTTTTCTCCAATTGTCAGATCTACCTCTTGACTTTAATCGAGACTCTCCACATTCGTTCTTTTTCCAATTAGAAGTCCTTCCATGAGTAGTGAGAACGTTTGAGCTAGAGCTTTGATACGTCTCCTTTTCCTTTTTCCGCATCTCATTGTTTATTAAGGCATTTGAAACATCTTCAAAATCAATATTAGTGATTCCATGTAGTAGGGTCGTTACTAAAAACTCGTATGATTCCGGCAAAGAGTTTAATAACAACAACGTCTTGTCCTCGTCATCAATCTTAACATCAAGATTGAGCAAATCAGTGATGATTTTGTTAAAATCATCCAAATGCTCAGCCATTGAGATGTCTTCCTTGTAGTCAAAACGGAAGAGTTTCTTCTTCAAATAGAGTTTATTTTCCACACTCTTCTTCATATATTTCGCTTCAAGCTTGTCCCATAATTCTTTCGCCATGGTAACCTTCATAAATGGATATTTCTGATCCTTGCCAAGACAAGATCGAATAATTCCACAGGATTGTCGATTTAATTTCGTCCATTCTGCTTATGTCATGTCTTCAGGCATTTCTTCTTGGAGAGAAACATCGAGGTCTTGCATGACCAGCAAATCGCTAACTTCGCCTCGCCAAACACCAAAATTATTGGTTCCATCAAATTTCTCTACTTTGAGATTGGAACTCCACACTCTCGATCCACGTCGTGATGGTTCTGCCATTTGCAATAATTAATCTGGATGAAACTCAAAAACACAATTCTTGAAAATTAAATTTCAAGAGAATAAACACGATTGTGAGCACGTCTAATGGTCGATGAGGCACAAGCTTTCACAATACCCCAAAATACCACAATAAGGCTCTGATACCACTTGTTGTGAGCCGAAAGCGGAACAAATGTACTCACAACACCAAAATCACTCAAGACATACAATATTGCACTAAAAAACTTGATTTTT